GCTGAACGTCATATGATTTCTTCATGGGAACAAGTAAGTATTGCCGTGCTGAATCCTCACCTCTCAAGAAAGAGAGGTCAACTTACATGCCCTGAGAAGGAAAGATTAAGGATGAAAACCTATTCTTTTCTCAGGCAACACTTGTCTTCAAGGTAGAGTTCATTCTTTTTTCTATTTTGCAGACAACGTGATACCCTCTTCCGTTCCATGTTATTTCCCCAGCATGGAGTGTCTTCTCTGAGCTCTATTATCCAGACAGTAGCATTCAGAGAGGAATACAACAAAGCTAAAAATCTAATGGCAGCAAGAAAAGGAAAGGGAAAAATATATGCTCATATTATTAAGCATCATGCCAGGCAAAACATAGCTAAGTGTTGCAAATAACTACTAACCAGATCAATAGCTAGTGCTTCCCAACCCTCCTCCGAACTTCAATTAATTTATTCAATAGAAGGTTTAAGCTCCTAAAATATCCTAGGCATTGTGCTTTGTGTTGAGCCCTGGGAGTTCAATGGTAATTTTTTAAAAAGCACTGGAAAGACATTAGGAGAAAAATATAGGGGTAAGACATTTATGGGACACAGAAATGTCTGTAATGGCAAACTGATATGACTTGGGGATGGGGAAGAGGCAAGAAATTACTCTGCAATTTAATAAGTACTTACTACCACATATCACATAAGTTATTTCATGTGAAATGAATACTAACTCTGCAAGGTAGATATATTATCTCCGTTTTATAGATGAAGAAACTAAAGCCCAAAGAGTTAAAGAATTTGTTCATGGGACCAGCAGTTGCGTAACGGCTGTGTCGCTATTAGTCAACCGCAGTTCAAGTCCCAGACCTAGTGGCTTAAACTCACACCAGGCGTATGTGTGCACGTGCCCAAAATCCCAAGAGGAGAATGGAGGAGGAGGGATTGCGGCATGGCCATCCCCCGGGGGGGTGATTTCTCACTTTCTGTCTCTTTTTCTGACTTTCCAGTGAGCACACACGCCCTATAGCAAAAACCTCTCAAAAAAAAAAAAAAATGTTCACAATTACATAGCTACTACCAGACAGCAAAGTCTAAATTTGAGCTCAGAGTTGCCTGCTTTTAAGCACATGCCCTCTCTGTTCTGCCAGACTGCCCCACTAATGATGGTAACACTGTGGGAGTCTTGTCCTCAGTAGCGAGGTACTCCATGGGGACTTGTTCAAGCCCACCAGTGTGACTCCTCTCTGGGCTGAATCAGCAGCAGCCCTCTGGCAGCTCAGTAACTGGGAGCTGAAATTAATCTCCAAGAACTCAGCTCAGCAGCACCCCAACTTTTCTTCCTCAACCCCCACCCGTTTCCACTCACAACCCATAATAGGAAAAGGTACTACCATACAGTGTCTATTTGTTGAACTCTTACTGGCTGATCCTGCCGGGATTCCTGGTGTTGCTCTGGCTTTGCCAGTCTGGCCCTGTTGACATTGTTAGGAATAACAGAGAAGAGAGATGGTTGATGACATCCCTCTTGATTCTTTATAGGCCTCTGTCAGCCCTTTAGGGAAAATAGCCTCAGGGCCCTTTTGTGAGAGTAAAATCTTGTATTTTCCTTTTTGCTAAAGACCTGGATGAGAGAGTGAAAGGACAGGAATGTCTTTCCTAGTGTAGAAGACCATTAAGGCTATAACATACTCTGTCATTTATTTAATGAAGTAATTTCTGGGGCATAGTCTTTATCTTATACCAGATAGTACCCGTAACTCTAAAGAGAAGACTTGACCCCTCTCTACCAGTTTTAGTTATTATACTGTAGTTTATTCACTTGGAGCATGCCTTCCGTAACTGCTTTTCAGTTAGAGTCCAGCAGATCCTATCAGGGTCTAATCTGCCTTCTGGACTATGTAAAGCTGACTGATACTTAAGACAGTGCAGTTATAGAGCTGAATAAGTAGCCATCCGAGGTCTAAAGGATTAAGGGGCCAAACATGAGAGAAAGAGATTTTTAACGACCTTAGACAATTAATGGGACTTTCTCTTCAAAAATACACAGTTGGGGAATTTCTATAAAAGTACGTAGAATAATAATATACATTGATTTAGAATTTTCCCTTGAGTTCTTTACTTGAAATTTCTCAAATCTAAGTACAAGTATGCCTCGATTAGATACAAACAGTATTAGTAATGTAAAATGTTTCCTTAACTTCAGCTGGACATGTCTGGGCTCTGTGGAACCTGTGAGTTGCTTGAAGACGAATGTTAAGAATTTGATAGGTAAAGTTTGAGTGTGTAGTTTTGCTTAATCATTCAGTTTTTATGTAAGACTTTTTTTTTCTGATTATGCCAAGCAAAACATAGTCTCTATAAAAAATTTGGGAAGTTGGGAACCAGCAGTTAGCGTAATGGCTGTGTCGCTGGATTCCCACGTAGTCGACTGCGGTTCGCGTACCGGACCCGGTGGCTTAAAACTCACGCCGGGCGCGTGTGCGTGCGTGCCCAGGATCCCGAGAGGAGAATGGAGGAGAAGGGATTGCGGTGTGACCATCCCCCCTGGGGGGTGATTTCTCGCTTTCTGTCTCTATGTCTCTCTCTGTCTGTCTGGCGAGCGCACACGCCCTATAGCGAAAATCTCTCCAAAAAAAAAAAAAAATTTGGGAAGCATAAAGCAGGGCTTAAAAATTGAACAATCTTCTAGGATTTAATCACCTAAACTTAATTTTTGATTGTGTGTGCATATGGAGGATGGGCTGTAGGTAAAAGGTAAATCCGTGGATTCCTTGAAATGTATGTAAAATGTATTCAGTTGTGTGTGTGTTTGTTTGTTTTGGCTATAGGCTGTGTGCGCTCTCTAGAAAGACAGAGACAAAGAGCGAGAAATCACTCCCCATGGGGGATGGCCACACCGCAATCCCTTCTCCTCCATTCTCCTCTTGGGTTCCTGGGCACGCACCTACATGCACCCAGCATGAGTTTAAGTCACCAGGTCCAGGACTTGAACCACAGTCGGCTACATGGGAGTCCCGTGACATAGCCATTACGCCAACTGCTGATCCCACAAGTACAGATTATTTTTAGGGAGAGTTTTCTTCTTTTCCAGGGAGAGATTCTCAAAGGGGAACTGGTTTTGTATAGTTTTTCAAAAAACTTAAGAAAACTTAAAAACTGGTGTTCTATAATTTTTCAATTAAAATACTCTGTGCTATTTTGTTACCTACTTTTGTCTCTTAAGCAATAGAGAGCAGAAGTTTATTTGTTTGTTTGTTTGTTTGTTTTTTGAGAGGTTTTCGCTATAGGGCGCATGCACTCGCCAGAAAGACAGAGAGAGACAGAGAGATAGAAAGCGAGAAATCACCCCCCATGAGGGATGGCCACACCACAATCCCTTCTCCTCCATTCTCCTCTTGGGATCTTGGGCACGCACACACACGCCCCCAGCACGAGTTAAAGCCACCGGGTCCAGGACTTGAACTGCGGTCGACTACATGGGAGTCCAGCGACATAGCCATTACACTAACTGGTGGTCCCGATAGCAGAAGTTTTAAAGTGGTGTTTTCAGCTCCCCCATCCCACTTTCTGACCCAGAGGGTTACTAAAGAATGTGTTTCCATAGGTGCAGGCTTGGTAAGGCCACTTCTAATTTCTGCCTGCTCCTGGAGGTTCCTGTACCAGAGGAACAAAAAGATCCCAAGGAGCTAAGTTCCACTTCTCTAAGAGATGGACCCTACACACCTGTCTCCTTGTAGATACCCCAACCAGGTACAAAAAGAAAAATCTGAGGGGCAAGAAAATTTTAAAGACTTTGATTAAGAACCGATTCATGAATTAGGGAACGTCACACTGGAAGAAGTATACTGTACCAGTGATAAAATGTCAGAGGCAAGCATTATTAGGAAAATATGGCGTCAAAAAGAAATGGTTTAACTGGTTTGCAGTTACAAAATTGCCCTTTGTTAGGCAGAAAGAAAACTTTGTTGGAAAGTTTCTAATCTCATAATCGTATATTAGGTGCCTAACATAAATATTTATGAAAAATGACCCAGGTTGGGCCATCCAGTGGCTTGGTGGTTAAGGCAGCTGGA